TGAGAAGGAGAATAGGAAAAAGTGTGGAGCGTTTTTTTTTCTCTACTGAATAGATACCTGTGCGATGCATGTGAAATACGTATCAGTCTTGTTGACGATATGAATCAGTATAAATGAATGGCTTGAGATTTGAACTGAATAATTAATAAGAATAATGCAGATTTCTTGTCGTTGTTTATATTACAAAAGGGAAATTTTCGACTGTAATCGGTCATTGTGAATCTTAAAACGATGACTTCAGATGCGGTGTGAGACTCTCGTTTATTCAAAGGTTGAGGACTCTTTTCTACATCAAGGTTTAAACTAGATGATGATTATATTAAATCTGGGTCTGCTATGTGAACGAGAAATCTGATGAGAAGAATGAAATAAGCGACTTAGTCTCATTTCAACTACCTTTTCGTTTATGCTATCAATACAAATTAACAAGTGTTTGTGAATATATTTTTGTTTAAGTAATCATAAATTTTATGTGCTGAGATCATTTTATTTACAAAGAAGTATATATGATTATTTTAATCCTATATTCATGGTCACTTGCTACCGACGACAAAATGGTTGAGAATCGTATTTTTCATTTAAGAAATCAAAATTACGATCAAAAAATCTCTCTTGGATATTTTTAGATTGTCAAAGTCTAGCTGTACAAAATGCAAATAAACATTCAATATTGAGAAACAACAAGTGAATAAATTGCCTGAGTCTTTGCAATACATGTATGACCGGTATGTAACCCTTTCCGGCCCGCTACCAGAAGACTTGTAACAAAAATATCTTTTATAGCAAATTTGTAGTTCTCTTATCGTGGAGATATCAAATGTGCAGTCGTTGGAACAAAAAAGTTTTTCGTTACCAAATGGTTTGTTGTTGCCGTTTGGCAACATCCGACCGTAAGGGGACACAAATTTTGAAAAAGTCAAGTTTTTTTGTGCATCAAAATTCGATATTTTGTGGCTTTTTTTGAATCCATACCATCATATCATAGCACAATTGGTCTTTCTGCCCGTCTTTTGCAAGCCAAAGCTGAAATATCTCCAGAATATTGTGAAACTTTGCGAAAAGATGCATAATTAGCCAGTTTTTTTCCAGGAAACTTCTAAAATTCTAGAAAGATTTAGAGGATTCTGTAATAGTCTGTGTCGGAATATCCAGAATGCTCTGAAACTTTTAGAATTTCCTTGAATTTTAGAACTTCTCTAGAAGAAACTGTCTAGTTTGGCATCATTTAACAAAGTTTTGGAATATTCTGGAGATATTTCAGCTTTGACCTGCAAAAAACGGGCAGAAAGACAAACTGTGCTGTGATATGAAGGTATAGATTCAAAAAAAAACACAAAATATCGAATTTTGATACATAAAAAAATTGACTTTTTCAAGATATTTGTTCCCTTACAGCCAGATGTTGCCAAACGGCAACATCCTCATTTTTTACTGTTCGGATTTATTCTATAATTCGACTTAGTGGTACAGTAGATTACAGATCCCTGAAGGAAAATTTACCACTAATTGAATCTTCAATTGAATGTTCAGGCACAAGAAAAAATAATTATTTCGATTCGGATGCTCTTTTGGGGCGTCGTGAATTGAATCCTTCATCTCCTCACTGAAAGCTTTATATTTTTCGTATGAATGTATGAATTTACGCAGAAATGTATTGGCGTAATTATCAATGTGTTAAAAAAATTATAGGTCATTAACTTAAGTCAATCTGGCAGAAACATTGACTCCATGTTGCCAAACGGCAACATCCAGCGGGAAAGGGCTAAGGACAGACTATTGCAAGCTTCATCGACGGCCATCTCTAGTTCAAGTTGTGACTTTGGATTCTTAGTTTTAATCTTTTGTTTGATAATGTTCCATATTAGTTCAATGGCATTGAAATCCGAGCTATAATCAGGCCATTCGCATAATTTAATATTATTTTCTTCACATCATCCTCGGAATTCAATGCTTCGGTGCCATCGAACTCCATCAGAAGCATATGAATATCCCTTGAAATCTTGTATCGTTTCGGATAAAACTTCATTCACTGTGTCACGATACGTGTCACTTTTTAACCAATTATCGAATCGACGAAAAACATAACCGTTCCACCAAATAAAACCAATTAAATTGACATGCGCCCGTAAAGATGAAATTTCTTTCTGGGGTGTTGGTTCACCTCGTTTGCACCAAACAACCGGTGTTGTGCCCCTTAATCCCACATAACATTCATCTTCAAAAATGTATTTTTTGATGTTGGCTCGATGATGTAATTCAGCAAATCGATATCGACTTTCTTCATTCTTATTGTTGGTTTTCACCTTGACGGCAGATCTTCGTGAACGGTAACCAAGAGAAATTCGATAGCGTTGTATCGTTCGTTGGGTCGTATAAAATTGTGTGAGTGACAATAATTCAGCAGCAGTAGCGGATTGATGTTTTTGAATGGCTTGATTGAGTTTTTTTTATTTGAGTTGAGTCGAGAGAAGGCGGGTGACCAGAACTGTGTCGATGGTTCACATTACGATGAGAACGATCGTGATTAATGATTCGATGTAGTGTATTGATGTGACAATGGAGAAAACGTGATGGCTGTTTGACATTTAGAGAACCTTTTTTCCGTTGACTGATAATATACCAAATTCATATTTGACATTATATTGATATAGAAAAGAAAAAGACTTAGTCGTTTTGTTTTGTATTCGTCTTTTAGAATTTCATTTGAAACTTTTCAACATATATATGGATAACGATAAACAAACATTAACTTTTAATCAACCATTGAAAGATGAAACAATCAAATTACAAAGTAATTCAGTCGGATAGTAGATGGAAATCTTTTTATATTTTCATTTCAATAGACGATAGATTAATAACTCGGATTGAACATTTATCTACAGAATTGTTTGTTACAATATTTGGCTATCTTCATTGTTATGATATCTATGAAGCATTTTCAAATCTTAATTATCGTTTTCAACAACTTCTCAATTCTTCATTTTATTTTTATGAAGTTAGATCTAATAAGGCAACATTTATTGAAACATTTACAAATAACTATCAACAATTTCTTCTTCTTAATAGTGGTAACATATTTTCCATGCGATTATGGGCATCGTTAGAAAATGGTCAATTCTTATTGTCACTTATTACCGATTCGTCAATGAGCTCGCTCCAATCACTTCATATCTCTTAGATTGATTTAAATCAATTTGTTCCAACACTGAATAAATTAACTGCTTTACCTTGTCTTTTCTTCTTATCTATTATAATAGATGATACAGATGAAAACGTGGGTGAAATTTGTCAATTAATACTTGCTTTACCTAAATTAAAATCAATTAGTCTTACCATTAATTCAATCGATAGTCAAATCAATCTTTTGACGTATACCAAAAAACGACAAAGTACTATTGAATATCTTTCTATTAATCCTCGAATAACTATTGGCCAATTTTTGATATCCTTGCTTATACACCTCAAATTCATCATATGCATGTACGTCAAACAGAAATGTACAGTCGACGCATCCATCTTGAATCACCAATCAAATTAACAAATTTAACACATATTTCGATACATCAATTTGATGGAAATTTGAATCAGTTTGAAACATTTATTAGCCAAATATATTGTAAATTAAAATATTTACATATTACTCTTACGTATGCCGAAAGCACCTTTTTGAATGGTCATCACTGGGAACGGTTAGTTTTACAATATTTACCTGAATTGGAAAAACATCATTTAGAATTTAGTAATTATTTCTATGAAGCGCCTGAATACTCTGTAGACTCTGTACCATCGAATCCATTGAATACACCGTTTTGGATTAAACGACAAGATATATTTGAAATCCAAAACTATAACTCGAGTGTGGGTGTGGGTGTGGGTAGGTGTGGATGTGGGTGTGGGGTGTGGGTGTGGGTGTGGGTGTGGGTGTGGGTGTGGGTGTGGGTGTGGGTGGGTGGGTGTGGGTGTTGATGCGGGCGTTTGTACCGATATAACATTCTATTCACTTACACCTACATCCACACCCACACCTACACCCTCCCCCCCCCCCACACACACACTCCGAATTTAATCAATTATACTGGTCAGTTTTGGTACACGTCACTGTTAATAGCATATTAATATGATTTTGCATTTTCCATTGCAAAGAGTTGACTGCTTTTATTTTTGATCCAATAAAATCAAGCCTATGAAATGTATGCATCTAAATTTGACACTTGTAAATCATTCAAGGTTGTTCTCATCATTTCTTTTTACTTTTACTTTTCTCTTTATCTTTTCGAACTTTGTTAATACAGATAAAAGATTGAAGTACATATTGACAGGTAATATTTGCTCTGTGATCCACATATAATCAGAAAGATAAAAAAAAACGAAAAGATAAAGAAATACGAGGAGTATTAACAGAACACAGTGTACTTTGCTTTCTTACACGCAGCGTTCTTGTTTCGAGGTTGTTATTATTGTAGCAGTAACGTTAGGTTTACAGAGAGAACAAAAAGAACGTTAGTTGTGTTTTTTTTCTTCCATTCTTCTTTCTAGTGTCAAGATGTGCCTTCTTATTGGTTTTATAATAATACTTTATGTGTTCTATCGTTTATACCAACATTTTTTTCCGACACCAAACATCAATCCTAATGGCAAATATGTTCTTATTAGTGGTTGTGATACTGGATTCGGTCATGGATTAGCTATTGAACTTGATAAACAAGGTTTTAATGTTCTTGCTGGTGTCCTTCGTCCTGACAATGTAATCTCTCTTAAAGAAAAACTTTCATCAAGAGCAACAGTTTTTCGCCTTGATATTACCAACAAAGAGGATATTGATGCCGCATTTAAATTAGTCAACGAAAAAATCAAAGTTCTTCATGCACTTGTTAACAATGCTGGTATTGGTGTAGGTGGCCATATTGACTGGACATCAATGGAAGTTATGCGTGAAGTGATGGATGTTAATTATTTTGGACATGTTGCAATGACAAAGAGATTTTTACCCTTACTTATTGTTAAACGTGATTCGCGTGTTGTTAATATTTGTTCTGTAGCTGGTTATCTCGCATTACCAAGTATGTCTGCTTATTGTGCATCAAAATATGCTCTTGAATCATTTTCGGATTGTTTACGTCGAGAAATGGTTCCATGGAGTTTGCGTGTTAGTATTATTGAACCAGGATTTATGCGAACACCCATTATCAAAGGAGATGGTAAATCATTTGCAGATTTTTGGAGTCAACTTTCAAATGATGTTCAAGAGCGATGGGGAGAAAATTTTCTTAAAACCGGATTTAATACTATAAAAGATAGTCCATTCTTGAAACACGCCGAAGATCCTACGAAAGTAGTACAAGCTCTTCAACATGCTGTCATGAATACAGTTCCTCATATTCGTTATCGACCTGGTTGGCAATCAAGTCTTATTTTTTTTCCAGTTTCTAATTTACCTGCTTGGATCGTTGATTGGCTTTTGAGTAAATTAGATCAATCAACTGATGTTCCCGCAAGCGTTAACAAACAATACAATGATTAAAACTGATTTATTTAGAGACTTTGACAGACTTTTTTAAATCATAAACAGAAATAATACTTTTTTGACATAATAAAATGATTCTTAAGAAAAAAAAACTATAGATTTATTCAGACAACGAATTTTAATTCTAAGCAATATATATTGAGCATCAGTAGTTAGTTAAAGCTAGTGGACGGCTGGTCGTATGGTCGATCCGTCGTGTTTGTATAGATGTCGGCGTGCATGAGAATCTTTTGTGCAACCTCATCCACATTCGCATCGAAGACCATCATCAAGGCAGCTCTTCCTAATGTGCTGCTAACTATTTTAAATAAAATGTCGTTTGAAATTGTTTACTAAATGCAAACACGAATCTTTTAGAACATGTGTCATCTATATCATTCTACTAGCTAGCAATAATTTCACGTTTTCGATCAATTTGATGAGAACTCATGTATGTGATACTCATTATAATTCATCATCGTTTTATATGAAATCTTTTTATTTCAAGGAGATTCAACACATCTTATCAAATTATAAGCACGTCTAACAAATGTTTAAAAAAAACTGAGGCTTGATCAGCTGCCGTGTGGTGATGAAAGACATAGAATCAATTAAATGATGGTACTTAGTCACAAAGAATCCCTGTTTTCATTGATGGATATCTTGTGTTTTGTATGAATATATTATTAGTATCATGCATTCATGCTAAAAAAGACCAGATATTGGACTAAAATGAATTATTTCTTCATCAAGAATAAATCAAAGAGACACTCTTTTGTGAAGTACGATCTAAAAGGAGTGTTGAAGTGTTTAGGGTTCGAAAATTGAACCCAGCTTCCTCCCCCCACAGACCGTGCTAGACAGGGCTCAGATCCATCACAGACTGCGACAGACAGGCTTCAGGAGTTATCGTAGATTGCGATAGAAGACTTCAAGAAAATATCGGAAATCATGTATAACTAACATATACTTAGAGCATATATGGAGTATTGTTCTGTTCAAGCTCTATAATGTAAAATAAGCCATGATGAAGAAATGTGCATCAATATGCATAGAAAAAGGACAGTTTTTAGAAGATTGGCAACAACAGCTACCTCGTATTTCACATTTTAATCTCACAGGAATTGCGCTAACAACTTGTTTACTCGATTATAATCAGATTTTTAAACATGGATAATGTTCTTTTGAAATCATATAAAAAGGATGTGAGTACTGAATATACGTATCTTTTTATTAGTGACGTGTCAAGCAAACCATGATCTGGATGAGTCACTACCTATGCATTGTTATATAATTCGATCAAGTCGCAAACGTTTGGTTTAGTTTGTTTAACAGTAACATTTTTGATCGACTACTCGTCACTCATAATCATTGAAGAATTAAATCTTAAATTTTTGTCTGCTCAAAAAATCCGAAACTGAGCTAATAGGAAGATTGGCATATGAGTTACATTCATTTAGCCTTCGAGAATACCCTGACTGATGTTAGAGTAGTCAGTAGGTGTTTTGAAGTGCAGATGTTGGTGTGGAGTGCAAGTGTGGGTGTCGTGGTGTGTAAGTGAAGGCATGGGTGGGTGTTATTGCTGGTCTGTTCTTCAAAAACACACCCGCATCCACACCCTCACATACACCCATACCCCACACTCAACTACATCAACA